GATATATCCTTACTCTCATCACTAGCTTTTCAGTTAAGAGGTCAAGGAGCTGAAGTGCAACTAGAAAATTGTTCATCATTTATTTAGTTTTTCTCCTTTTTTATTTGGGGTGGGGGGGTTGGGGGGCGCTCAAATGCTTAGATTGTTGCCTGATTCATCAATCATTCAACTATGCATCAAATTTAAATTAGTTGGGTTGGCTATGTGAATCCTTTATGTCCTCTGCCTGGATCTATTTCCTTCCAGTATTGACAAATAATTGCTTGTAAGGCACATAAAAATTCCTTCAGAACAAGAAATTATCTAAACCTAACTCTTTTTTCTACCCTTACATATGAGTATCCATCTAGACAAAAAGACTTCTACCAAAGATGAGATCTTATGCAAGTTACACCTGCAACAAAACTTCAATCGTAACCTGTTGGTACATATAGGTCCTTTGCTTCTATTGTATTCTTTACTTTGTTAAGCATGCACCTATTTTGAGATTTTAAGTTATTTGAGACAATTTTCCTTCATGTGGTTTTAGGTCTACATCGTTCCTTTTTTTAATCATCATAAAAGTATCCCACCTACAAGCATGGTGCATTTAGAGGTCTATGTAGGATATAGCCAAACCATCTTAGTTTACCTTTTCTCATATCTTCTATGTGTTTTATTTAAAGCCTCTGTGATTATTTCTAATATTGTCTAATTCTTTATGATCGTGTAGCCATCACTCAAGACTAGTGGAGTGATGGTGGCATTACAAATTTTTGAAATGTGTTATGTAGTCTCTTTTTATACAAGTCCAGATTAAAGATCTGTTGATATATGGTTCCTGTTTATCTTTGGAAGTACAGCTGAGGGGCTAGCCTTTGGTAATAGTGTCTATTGGATACGTTTTGATGAAGAGTTTTCAGAGAAGGTAACTTGTGTTATCATTTTCTAGCAATTTTCTAATTTCTGTTTTTTTCCTATTATAAGTATTCGTATATTAAGATCTTCTATTGTTTTGCAGAAATTTAAATCTTCAAATCCTTTTGGCATCAAATACAAGTTCCATCTGGAGGTGTGTAGACCTTTATGGCTTCCTATATATCTTAGCTGTGTCCTTTGATATTATTGCTATTGATTAAAGTATGTACTCGCTCCTTTGTCGATTTTTGTTGCAAAACACAAATCTCAGCTTCTATTTGAATAATTTATTTGTTTTATAGCTAGTCTATATACATGTATGGTTTTCAGTTTTTGCTTTACGTGTCTAGAATCATGCACATTGAAGAATTTTTATTTGTCTTTTAGCCTCCATGATTTGCAAGTTCTAGCAGACTAAATAACTGTTCTTACTCTACTATTTATGGATTTGCATGTGCTATGAATGAAACCAAACACTATTTTGGGGCTCAAAACTCAGTTATTAATTTTTATCAGACAATAGTTTATGTACATATATCAACAGGTTGAGAATCCCATTTTAACACGACTTACAAAAGACTTTGTATTATATGCTTGGAATGTTATCATCCTCCTATTAAATCCTGAAAACCAACATACGGTTATCCTCTTATTAAATCCTGAAAACCAACATAGGGTAATCCTCCTATTAAATCCTGAAAACCAACATACGGTTATCCTCTTATTAAATCCTGAAAACCAACATAGGGTAATCCTCCTATTAAATCCTGAAAACCAACATACGGTTATCCTCTTATTAAATCCTGAAAACCAACATAGGGTAATCCTCCTATTAAATCCTGAAAACCAACATACGGTTATCCTCTTATTAAATCCTGAAAACCAACATAGGGTAATCCTCCTATTAAATCCTGAAAACCAATCTACGGTTCTGATATTGAAAATCCTTTGATTGCATCTATGTGTGAATATATATGATTTATCTGCTTTTCAACAAATAAACTGTCAATATTTGGATTGTAGGATGCTGTTGATTGTCCTGAGTGGATTGTTCCTTTCCCCGTCTTCAAGGCAATGGCTGAAGAGGTATTAGCATGTGTGCCTCCCACTTTTAGTTGTTGACATGTACTTCACCACAGGTCATTTGTTTTTTGACTTTATATGTCCCTTTTATATGAATACGAGAAATTGTAGGTGTAAATGTGCCCTTTTTTTATCTTATATTATTTTTTATTTTAAATCAAGACCATGGTAGGTTTTCTTTTATATAGAGAAGGCAATTTTCTTGATTGAGAGCAGTGTTATCAAAAGCAAAAAGAGTTGTAAGGTCTGTTGGGGCTTTAAGCGCAAATAAAGTGTAGACTTTGATGCAAAAAGGCGCAAAGGGAGAAAAAGTATAAATATATATATGATTAGTCCAAGACTAATAATTTGTAAGCATGAATGACAAATATATGAACAAAGAAATTAAAAATAATTACGATAAAAAGTGAAATATCAATTGTGTAGTGTCGTCTCCTCAAAAGAGGTTCATTGGCAAGGAAAAGTATGTCTTAGAACCTTGATGACGACACTGAAGCGCACATTAAGTGTGCCTTTGATAACACTGATTGAGAGCGCTCCCTAATGTTATTTATGAGACAAAATAAGGGAGTATCTTAGACATTGTTCAAAATCCTTATAGTTAGTCAGATAGAATTTGTGTATGCTATACGAGGCATAATTACTGATATTTCAAGGATTGCACTGCAGAAGGCATAATAATTAGCATTCAAGTATATAATGCAATTGTTTCTTGCCTTCTCATTTATTCTGACAGCGTTATTTAATTTTTTATTGCAGTATGACTTCGAGCTAGTTTTTGTGAAGAACAACCATGAGTTTGTGGATGAGTACATGAAGAAACCAGAGTTCATTGAGCTAATGAGCAACAACCACAATAAAAGTAATTATTTTGTATGCAAAGTATGCCTTTGCATGGACAATGACATTGATTCTTGTGATTGTGATCTCGGGCAAAATCTTGTTTATTTTGCAGCGAGGGCAACCAGATCAAACACGAAGAAACCCTAGACGAGACAAAGGCAAGATGCAATTGACAAAAGACGATATTGAGAATGTTAACGGTGCAGTGTAGTGCTTTGCTCCAACCTTTGAAACTGAAAACTGTTATGGAACATGAGGAAGTATCTGAAATGAAGAGGAACAATAAACACAGTGCCCACTTCAAGTCGATAAATCCAGCTGCTAATCAATTTTGCAGAATAAAGACTTTAGTTTTCCCCTTATCATTTGTTACATCAACTTGGTATTATACTCCTGCATAAAAAAGTTGATGTGGGCAGAAGTGGCTGGTTCTAATGATACCAGTCACCAGTGCAATGTTTGTTTGTCCACTTGCACTTACCATGTAACTCTCTGTACCATTACATATTTAAAGTGAGAAAATAGCCAAAAAAATCAATCTGGAATATTAAGATAAAAATGTTTTAGATATCTAAGACAATTGAACACTGATGTCAAGATCAAATATATGTTGTTTGTTTACTTATGCTGTTAACGCACAGTTGAGAGTACCTTATCTGGTATTCTTTTTTTCTTTTTTGTTTACCCTCCCATGAGTTCCCACCCTTTTTGCTCCTTTGCTTACTTGAACTCACAACCTTCGGGTTGGAAGTGAGAGGTGTTTACCATC